GTTTTTTGACCCATTGTCTTCTCTTCTGTAAGAAGTGCATCCTCTTTCTTTTCTAAACCTGACGAGTCTACCTATGTCACGATCCTGGTTCTTCCAGCCTGCCCTGGGGCCCTGTCCCACCAATCACCACTCCTTTGTCTTGCATCTTCAATGTATTCCCCCTGACAACTTGTGAGAACATGGGTAGTGACTTGCTACTCAGTTTCCCTCTCAGGACAGAGGATTTCTTCCCCAGACGCTGGGAGTGCTGCTGGGAGGTGGCTCTCAGTTTAGAGTTGCCTCACTAAAGACCACACCTCCTTCTCTGGGCAGCTTTTCTCTGACTGGTTCATGTGGGGGATATAACCACCTTCTCACCTCAACTGGGGACAACTCCAAAGGGGCTTCCAGATTCAGAGCTCCTCTGTTTTCTGATACTGCATCTCTGTCTAATCCTGCCTCCTTTCCTTGCACGCCCCCCCCCCCGCCAGTTTTACCCAAGATCTCTGAGAGTCTATATCCCAGGGTACCTTCTCTATGACAGTATGTCTGTAAGTTATAGACATTTAAAATTTTAAAGATGTCCTTCTAAAAAGTTCTACAAATTTGCATTCCCATCAACAATGTAGACAAGTTCCTCTTTTTCGACACCCTATCTGCTGCTACTAGAGATTTTCAAACGTTCAAATCGTTGCCATTTCGTAAGTAATGGATGGTGTCTCCTTCTTACTTTATTCGTATTTCTAAAATTATGAATAAGAGTGAGAATATTTTCATATTTATTGGCCATTTATATTTCTTCCCCTTTCATCTACTTATGTTGTTTTGTCCATTTTTCTCTTAGATGGCCATCTTTTATATGTTGGTTTAAGTGCTCTTTGTATAGTAAGGAAATTGCAAATAAGTTTTCCAGTTTGCTGTTTGTTTTGGATTTGCTTGACATTTTTTTGACCATTCAAAAGTTTTACTTTTTTTTTTTTAATTGGGGAATTGGGGGATGGGAACAGCACTGGGGAATTTGGGGAAGGGGAACAGACAAGTTGCTGTCCTTTTGTTCTTCAGTCTAGTTGTGGAGGACGTTGCTTCACTGGCCCAAGTTGGCTCCAT